AACTCATGACTTTCGGATCTCTAAAAATTCCTAGTCCGTCGGAGTTATCGACGGCAGTGTTAGTAAATTTTCTAGAACTTCTGTCCTTAAATTTGAGTTTGTGGTTGGTTGGTGTCTTTATGTTGTAGACAAAAGTGAATATTTGGATAGTGAAATTTTAAAAATATCTTTTCTTTAGCAATGATCAACAAGAAGTTTTGAAAATTCAAAAGGAGATTTTATGAAAATTTTGGAAGAATGGAGTTTTTTCGGTGATATTGAAAGGATTTATGTGTAACAGTTGAAGTTCCTTAAGTTTCAGTTGTGGAAGCAAAAATATAGGAATCAGTTCACATTCTACTGAAGAGGGTATTTTAGATTTTTGTCAGGGTTTGTGTACTTTTTGACCTATATTTTTAAAAATAATACTTTCTGCCCTATAATTTCTAAAAAAGATACCGGTCCCTTAAAACCCAAAAACTAATAATATAAAGTTGAGCTAAACCTAAATTCATAAGCCCAAATAATANCGAAGATAAAGCCTGCAAAAATCAATCCAGAGATATAAGTATTAATCATGACTCAATTTGGAACATCAAGTTGCAAGTATATCGTATGAAAATAATCGAATGAAAGACGTAAGTTAAAACTTAAGTTGTTAAAGAGTGTGTAACTTAAGTATTAATACTTTAACACGCTTCAGGTTAAATTTTAGACCTAGTATATGAAAATATTTTTAATCATTAAGGCAGCGGCAAGATTCGAAAACAGGACCTCTAACTTTGATATCATGTTAAACAACCATTTATTCCAAAAAGGAGAAGATGTAATATAAATATTTATACTTTAACACGCCCCTTCACATGAAGATTACATTTTTGCTTACATCCACGGACCTAACTACTACATCGGTGTATTATTGAAGGTACTTGAGCACATGAGAGCTCAACCCTAGTATGAGAATTACATATGATAGAAGATAAGTATAACATATATCTATCATCCTCTACATTAATCCAAACAACTTAGATAGTGATGGTCTTTTTGGATCCTATCGTATGTCAATCTAAATATTGATGGATTTTTTCTGATCTTATTGTATCTCTGACACTTGTATATATTGATGTTTGTATCTATGTTTGCTATGTGTAGGGGTGGCCTTGGCTGGATTTAGCAGGCGTTTGATATATTTTGGAGTCATAAAAAGCATATGGTCTGCTGNGAAGTGTTTTTGATTTATATTTTCCTTGGCCCTTTTCATACGTTGCTTGTGTTCACACAGGAGTAGGTTTTCGTTGGCCTTTTTTATATTATACCTTTAAACATTAATTTTTTTATATATAAAAAAATATTATAATATGATCATTCTGCTAATTTTTTTGTTTGTATTAATGAGATGTATTTTGACGGAAAGAATAACAAAAATAAATAAAAGCGATATTACAATACTTTTAATAAATTAAAAATATTATAATATGAAAAATTTAGTATTTGATCATATAAAATAAAAATCATAAAATGTTTCGCGATATAAAATATAAAAAGTCCAAAAAAGTAAACCAAACANGATATATTTTGGAGTCATAAAAAGCATATGGTCTGCTGTAAAGTTCAAAGCATTGTAACTCATAGATGAAGCTATTGTGGTTTGAAACTGTGATTTGTGGTTTGAATGAGTATATTCATTCCTATATTTGTATTTCTTCTTTAAAAAGGGTACAACATGTGAGAGCTACTTATAATGGAGATGTCCATCATAATATTAAGTTGGTCTACACATGTTTAACTATGTGATTTGGTGTGCTGGTGCTGGTACTATCTCTCTCGATCGTGTCATTTTTTTATAACCACTTGATGGCTATTTACATTTATAGTGATAACTGCTACTGAAAAAATCACATTCACGTTTTTCAACTATATAGAATATATATATATGTATAGTTAAAATAAAGATAAAACCTGAGAATAAANGTTAAATTCGACACGATTTAGAATTAAATTTAAGTCAAAATATAATGCATTGACAATGTCTAATTTGATTCTAGATATAAGCAAAGAGGGAGACTGGTGAGGCGGGTTCGTATCAAAAAATATTTTATTTATATTTAATTCGTTTATTAATTTGTATCTAATAAATCGTATTATATCGAAATTCGTGTCGTTTAAGAATCGTGTATATCCGATTTATAAACGAGTCGTATCGTATATTTCTTTTGATTGGTTTTATTCATACTCGATTCGTTTAATAATCGTGTCGTGTCAAGTCCACTCATTTATGAAATAGATGGTTTAAGGAATTTTCAAACCCTCTAATTTGGTGTCATATTAATGATTTGTGTCATATTTTAACAATCTTAACTACAATGTAAATGTGAGATTGAGATAGTGGATTACATGCAATATTAGAACTCACTTTTAATCCAAAGACAAATAATAGATTGGATAGGTAAACTGGGTTCAATATCAATTGGGCTAGCATTACCCTTCTTTCATTTGACCTAGCACTGAATTCAGATTTTTGTATTTTGGTCTTTCAAAATTTATTATTGTTTCTTTATTAATTTATTATGATTACTGATTAATGTAAGTAAACAAGAAGTTGACAATGTCAAAGAACAACTCAAGTTAACAAAATTCAAAATAGAAAGAAAATTAATTGTGCATACCCATAAACAACAAAAAAAATTGTTTTCCTAGTTTAACCTTAATTAACTCTTTAAATAAAATTTCATCCTTAGATTCTAAAAACTTGAGAAACTTGGGACTTAATGAATAATTAAGGGCAATAGATTAAACTTTTAAGAGATGAATAATGACAACATTAAAATATACATTTTACATTTCCCTTAATCTATATCTATANTCAGCTAAACTGTCACTTGTTACTTGTTTCCCTGTAAATTAGAGATTTTCGGTTCATCCATAATGAATTTAATCGTCCATTGAATTATCTGGTCAAATCTAGATTTATAAAACATAATATAATAAATTTGAATTTAGATTTACAATTCGATCGAAAATATAAATTTACTACTAATTTAACGTCTTTTAAATTCGACACGATTTAGAATTAAATTTAAGTCAAAATATAATGCATTGACAATGTCTAATTTGATACTAGATATAAGCAAAGAGGGAGACTGGTGAAGCGGGTTCGTATTAAAAAATATTTTATTCATATTTAATTCGTTTATTAATTTGTGTCTAATAAATCGTATTATATCGAAATTCGTGTCGTGTAAGAATCGTGTATATCCGATTTATAAACGAGTCGTATCGTGTATTTCTTTTGATTGATTTCATTCATACTCGATTCGTTTAATAATCGTGTCGTGTCAAGTTCACTCATTTATGAAATAGGTGGTTTAAGGAATGTTCAAACCCTCTAATTTGGTGTCATATTAATGATTCGTGTCATATTTTAACAATCTTAACTACAATGCAAATGTGAGATTGAGATAGTGGATTACATGCAATATTAGAACACACTTTTAATCCAAAGACAAATAATAGATTGGATAGGTAAATTGGGTTCAATATCAATTGGGCTAGCATTACCCTTCTTTCATTTGACCTAGCACTGAATTCAGATTTTTGTATTTTGGTCTTTCAAAATTTATTATTGTTTCTTTATTAATTTATTATGATTACTGATTAATGTAAGTAAACAAGAAGTTGACAATGTCAAAGAACAACTCAAGTTAACAAAATTCAAAATAGAAAGAAAATTAATTGTGCATACCCATAAACAACAAAAAAAATTGTTTTCCTAGTTTAACCTTAATTAACTCTTTAAATAAAATTTCATCCTTAGATTCTAAAAACTTGAGAAACTTGGGACTTAATGAATAATTAAGGGCAATAGATTAAACTTTTAAGAGATGAATAATGACAACATTAAAATATACATTTTACATTTCCCTTAATCTATATCTATATCTATATATATCTATATCTATCTATATCTATATCTATCTATACTACAATAAACTGTCAGCAATTCTATAAAACTTTTACTTTCTTTTTTACTGTTCAACAATGCAATTAGGACATTTTTACATTTCAACATAATTGACTTATTAAACTTAAATAACGATCTAAACCTTTCAATGCCTCCTCCCCTTCCCCCTTCCCCCATGCTCCATTTTAGCTTCTTTGATAACTGTTACTATACTAGAGTTTCCTTCCGTTTTCCCCGTTTCTTTGCACTTCTGAATTGGTTATATCCTCTATTTTAGATATCTTTTTGAGGCAACATGCAACGAAATAGTATACTATGTATATGTTCAGGGTTGTTCATCAATCTTTCCTTCACTATGACCCGAGTTATTTTGGTGGATGATGGTATTCTTGACTGTCAAGGATTCCATTCGAGTTTCAGAATCACACCCAAGGTGGTTTATCTTCCAACATTGGTATTATTTTTTTTATATATATTTTTCTGGTAAACATTTTTTCTTCATTGTTTGATCTCATTTCTGACTATTTTCTTCACTTTCAGATTATCAAGCCAATTTTGGATTTTGTAACTTGCAACCAATTTCACCTTGACGTTGTTGCCCCTCTTATGTGTGTGAGAGACATTCAAACCATTAGATGTATACTTTTATTACTTCCTGTTTTTAAATCCTTTTTTGTTTGTCTTTGAAATGATTCACCATGCTTCAACATTCAAGGATTAAAACATCAAACCAAGGCCAAAATCAGGGAAAAGAAGGGTAGAGTCATCGATAAATATCAAGTAAACATTTGATCTTATTTTTGTTTCATTTTTGAGATTGAATACTTGAAATAGCATAATGTAGAAATTTGAGCTAACACCACAATTACATACATATTTGGCGTAGAACCTACAGATGGTGTAAAAGTAGCGGCTCTTATACCTCATAACTTTTTGATTTGGCATGCCTTACAAGCACAGAAAGATCGAGTGATCAAGGGAGATTTCCTTGATTCACATCGAGGGAGCCATCCAAAAAATTTTCATTGTCTTATTCATCTCAATTTCATCCTAGTCATTGCTATGCAACGGGATTATTTATCAGTTGGTGCAATCTTTCACTTATTCTTGATGTAGCTATGCCAATTCTCGAAGATAAAGCCTGCAAAAATCAATCCAGAGATATAAGTATTAATCATGACTCAATTTGGAACATCAAGTTGCAAGTATATCATATGAAAATAATTGAATGAAAGACGTAAGCTAAAGCTTAAGTTGTTAAAAGAGTGTGTAACTTAAGTATTAATAATTTAACACGCTTCAGGTTAAATTTTAGACCTAGCATATGAAAATATTTTTAATCATTAAGGCAGCGGCGAGATTCGAAAACACGACCTTTAACTTTGATATCATGTTAAACAACCATTTATTCCAAAAAGGAGAAGATGTAATATAAATATTTATACTTCAACACGCCCCTTCATATGAAGATTATATTTTTGCTTACATCCACGGACCTAACTACTACATCGGTGTATTATTGAAGGTACTTGAGCACATGAGAGCTCAACCCTAGTATGAGAATTACATATGATAGAAGATAAGTATAACATATATCTATCATCCTCTACATTAATCCAAACAACTTAGATAGTGATGGTCTTTTTGGATCCTATCGTATATCTATCTAAATATTGATGGATTTTTTTTGATCTTATTATATCTCTGACACCTGTATATATCGATGTTTGTATCTATGTTTGCTATGCGTAGGGGTGGCCTTGGCTGGATTTAGCAGGCGTTAGATATATTTTGGAGCCATAAAAAGCCTATGGTCTGCTCNATGTGTAGGGGTGGCCTTGGCTGGATTTAGCAGGCGTTTGATATATTTTGGAGTCATAAAAAGCATATGGTCTGCTGTAAAGTTCAAAGCATTGTAACTCATAGATGAAGCTATTGTGGTTTGAAACTGTGATTTGTGGTTTGAATGAGTATATTCATTCCTATATTTGTATTTCTTCTTTAAAAAGGGTACAACATGTGAGAGCTACTTATAATGGAGATGCCCATCATAATATTAAGTTGGTCTACACAGGTTTAACTATGTGATTTGGTGTGCTGGTGCTGCTACTATCTCTCTCGATCGTGTCATTTTTTTATAACCACTTGATGGCTATTTACATTTATAGTGATAACTGCTACTGAAAAAATCACATTCACGTTTTTCAACTATATAGAATATATATATATGTATAGTTAAAATAAAGATAAAACCTGAGAATAAATTGTGTAGAAGACCCTGACACCCACAGTTGAAGAGCTAGCACTGACAACTTCAGCACCTTCTTGCTGAAGAACACTGAAAACTTGATGCAAAGTGAAGCTCTTACTTAAGCCAGTTATCAAATTCACCTCCAAAATAGAACCCATCTCTCTTATGGCAAGCACTGGTGACACCAACCCAATCATCTGATCTTTAATTCCAGCTCCATCAGCTTGGAGTTGTTCCTTCTTTTNGAGAGAGAGAGAGAGAGAGAGAGAACAAGGTTCTATAGCTCTACGCATTGAAGTCAAATCTACAACGCAGACTTTTTTTTCTTGTTTACATTGAAAAAATATTGATGCAGGGTAACGCAGGAGCCGCCCGAGATATTTTGGGGTTTAAAGCGGAATTAATAAAAAAGTTTTTTTTTTAAATAAAAAATATTACATTCAAATTTTATATTCAAATTTTTATTATCATAGTTAAACTTTATGGTAAGAGAAAAATAGGGAAGAGCTTGATTTTTTTGGGAGCAGTTAAGAATTTTTTTTAGTAGATTTAGTTTTATTGTTAACTTTTTTATTTTTGTTTTAGAAAAATTGAATTTTAGGACCAACTAATTCAGTTAGAGCCTTTTAATTTCATGGGTTGAATGAATTAATATGTTCAATCTAGGACTATAACTTGGATGGGTTAATTCGAACTCAACCCAAGTCTAACTAGAAAAAAATTGGGTTTGAGTTAGAATTTATAATACCTGGGTTAGACCTGAGCAAAAAAACATCAACCTGAATTAAATTTGGGCAATCATCGAGTTGTCGGGTTCAACTCGAATATTAAAATCGAGTTGAACCCGATTATTAAATTGGGTTGAACTTGAATATACATAAATATATTTAACTATGGTTAGTATTTATCTTCACTCTTTAGAGTCTCGACTTTTACTTCACTTTAAATTTTTACCTTTACACCTCCATCACTCTCAGAGCCCTCTGTCACTCGTCATTCTTCCCTATCTCAATCGTTACTTGTCTGAATTTTTGCAGACTCTCAGCCTTTCACTGTCACTCGTCACTCCTTCCTCTCTCATTCCCTCTCTCTTCATTTACTCTCGCCCTTCATCTCATATTACTTAAAAAAATCAAATCTACACTTGAAAAAATCAAATCTATACTTTAAAAAATCAACCCGAATTAAATAACCTAAGTTCAACTGATTTTTAATTCAAAATCAGCCCGAATTCAACCCGAACTCGCGCCGAATTAAACTCATTGAGTATCTCGGGTTGAGGTAGGGTTAGAATTGAAGATTATATACCTAATGTTGAGTTAGGGTTGACTTCTCAACTCGCCCAACCAGCCCGAGTTACACCCATAGTTCAATCCACTCAAGTTAAAAAAATTTATTTGAACTTAAATCTAGGATTTTTGTGGGGTTTATATTTTATGGATTCAGATTTTTTGTTTGAACTATTACTACACACTTAAAAATTAGTAAAAATTGGGACTAAGTTCTCCTTAAAGAATTTATAACGAGTTTAGTCTGTTAAATTTTTTTTTGGAGATAAGTTCGTTTTTACTTTTACTAATAAGTGCTTAAGTCTACTATTTTTTTTAACTCTAAAATACTTTTCTTTAAAAGCAACTTTAAATTAATTTCCCAACTTAAGAATTGTTATCCATTAATTCACTTTCAATGAAGATATGCCAATAATTTTTTTTACATAAATTTAAAATTCAAATTCAAGAACAATTGATATTCTCTCTCTCTTTATATATATATACTAGTAATTATCCGTGCCTGAAGACACTATGTTACTCGTAAAAAATTATAAATATTTATTCATAAATAAAGAAAATGCATAATACAATTTCAACAATATAACGATCAAATTGATATTATTTNTTTTTTTTTTTTTTTTTTTCTTATTTTGTTCTTTTCTTTTTAAAAGAGATGTATGTAGCATGGGGTGAGTATATAAAGCGTGGACTTAATAGTTTGATAAAGACTAATTAAATGGGGTGGGAATAACCCCACCCTTTAAGTTTAAGAAAAAATTTATACTTTATACTCAACAGTCAAATTTAGCTGAATTCGAGTCTTAATCACAATTACGTCAAACTGAGAACTANATAATTATTATTGATCAAACATTCACTATTTTAACATTTTTAATAAAGTTTATCTCAAATTTAAAAAAATTATAACTATTTGTTTTTCTGGAGGTTTATATCTAAAGTTTATAATATTATTGTTGCACTATTTTTTCTTTGTGTAACTTTTATGAGAAAAACATCTAAAAGTTTCATGCGAATTATCGTAAATATAAAAAAATTTGTTGAGAAATTAAAAANAAAATGAATTTTGGAGGAGAAATTTCAATCGTTTGATTAATAATCGTAAAACAATATGAGCCGCAAAAAGCTCAAGACAAATAATGCTGACTTTTTTTGTATATAGATATATCACATTACATATTTATTATTCGCCTATTGTATCATCTGAACAGTACAATATTTTTATTTCAAAACAAAATATGACCCATATTGTAGTTATTCGGCTCGTTTTGACCCAAAGAATCTATATTTATAGTCCATTTGTTTANTTTATTATTTTTTATAATCAATTTCAATTTAACTTCAAATTTGAATAAACTCATAAAATTCGAGCAAAGTTATGTTTAAGTAAGAATATATACTTTATACTCGATAATCAAATTCAGTTCAATTTGAATCCTAATTATAATTACTTCAAATCGATAATTGTGTAAAATGAAAGAATTCTTGTAATTTTTGGTCAAAAAAAAATCTAGAGTAGTTTCGATCGTTTGATTAACAATCTTAAAATAATTTGAACCGCAAAAAGTTCAAAACAAACAATGCTAACCCCCTTAATATATAGATACATCACAAATTATATATATTTATGTATTATTTGCTTATTATAGCATTCAAATATTATAGTATTTTTATTTCAGTACAAAATATGACATATATTATAGTCAATCAACTTGTTTTGACGCAAAGAATCTGTATTTAAGGTCCATTTATTTATTTAAAATTTTTAAAAAAATCCTTAATTATATAGAATCATAATTAACGATCAAATTAATGTGTAATATGAGATAGAGAAATAGAGAGAGAGAGAGAGAGAGAGAGTTATAAGAGGTATATGAGTTTTAGAATTGTGGAAGGAATATAAGTCTTGTTCAAAAAATTAGGAGAGGAAATTTTGCATTAGGACCATCGGATTAATAATCGTCAAGTAATCTGAGTCGTGAAAATATAAAGACAAAGAAATCTAGTTTCTTTATTATATATTAGTAATTATCCGTACCTGAAGGCACTATGTTACTTCTAAAAAATTATAAATATTTTTTCATAAATAAAGACAATGTATAATATAATTTCAACAACACAACGATTAAATTGATATTGTTCAACTTGCATATAGAACATGCATAATCAAACCTTTATATAACGAAAGTCAAGCTACAACTGNTAATTTCAACAACACAACGATTAAATTGATATTGTTCAACTTGCATATAGAACATACATAATCAAACCTTTATATAACGAAAGTCAAGTTACAACTACTGCTACATATTAATTCAACAATCTATAAGAAAATATAATTTTTATTGATAAAAAATTCACTATTTTAACATTTTTAATAAACTTATCTCAAATTTCAAAAAAATATAACTCTTTTTTTTTTTTCCAGGTTTCTACTTANTAATTTTTATTGATAAAAAATTCACTATTTTAACATTTTTAATAAACTTATCTCAAATTTCAAAAAAATATAACTATTTTTTTTCCAGGTTTCTACTATAAGTTCATAACATTATCTCTGTATCATTTTTTCAATGTGAGTTCGTGTAACTTTTGTGAGGAAAACATCCAAAAGTTTCACGTGAATTCTCCAAAATGTAAATAATTTTGTTGAAAAATTAAAAATAGTTTTAATTTTAGTTCAACTTAAATATTCGTATAATTCAATCAAATTTAAGTTTAGATAAGACTATTTCTACCCTACATATCTACATTTCCACCCCCATTTAATTTATCATTATCAAATTACTAAGTCTACCCCTTCTATACTCATTCCATTAGTAACTAAATCCACCCAAGCTATATACACCCTGTTTAATAAGTAAACTCACATTATATTTTGTCATAATTAGGGTTTTATTCTNTACCCCTTCTATACCCATTCCATTAGTAACTAAATCCACCCAAGCTATATACACCCTGTTTAATAAGTAAACTCACATTATATTTTGTCATAATTAGGGTTTCATTCTTTATTTTATCTCATTCACTCACAAAAATACTTTTTTAACATGAATTTTTTCATTGAGATACATGTTATTATTACTTCTCAATTTAATTCAATATTTGATTTCCTGTTTGTTACATGGATTTTCATTATTTTCGGTATGTGTTGATCTCTCTGTCAAGTTTAATAATTTTTTATTTAGAATTTATATGTGTGTATATATATGTACGCTTTTAGAGTTTTTTATTTTTTTTTATTTTGTTTAGGTTTTGCATCTATCCTTGTTATTTTTTTTCTTGTTCGATTTTGTGTTTATCCTTGATACTTTTTTTTTCATGTCCAGTTTTATGTCTTGTGGTTTTGTGTTTTGTAGTTTTTCTTATTCCTTTAATCTTTACTTGGTTTTTTTTGTCCTTCTCAGTTTGCTTCTCTTTTTTTTTTTTTTTTCTTATTTTGTTCTTTTCTTTTTAAAAGAGATGTATGTAACATGTGGTGAGTATATAAAGCGTGGACTTGATAAAGAGTAATTAAATGGGGTGGGAATGGAGATTTGGGGGTGGGAATAACCCCATCCTTTAAGTTTAAGAAAAAATTTATATTTTATACTCAACAGTCAAATTTAGCTCAATTCGAGTCTTAATCACAATTACGTCAAACTGAGAACTGAATTTAAGTTCGACTCAATTAATACTTCTATCTTAAACCTAGAAACTAATTTTTATTTATTCTCATAAAATTCAAGCAAAGTTAAATTTAAGTAAAAATATATACTTTATACTTGACAATTAAATTCAGCTCAATTCGAATTATAACCATAATCATTTCGAATCGATAATCAAATAAAATGAATTTTGGAGGAGAAATTTCAATCGTTTGATTAATAATCGTAAAACAATATGAGCCGCGAAAAGCTCAAGACAAA